AGCCTTTTGGAACTATGTGAATATAGGAAGCACTGTTTGGAGTACTTAATAGCCGTCGATGATGATCATGAGATTGGTCCCCCGGGTCGGGTGTTCTGCAGTGGGTTGCCTGAATTTGCACCTTATGTGGGCCATTACACTACTAGAGAGTATCCTCAACGTGATTATGCGGTTGGCCGTGTTGAGGAATACTGGGCGTTGCCAATCTATCATCATTCTACTCGGCACCTCTCCATTGGTGTACTCGAAATTGTATCACCAATTATTTTTGGCGTCTTACCTCGTTATCGGGTTCTGAAGAAGCTTCAGGTTCGACTTTTCTCTTTTTAAGTTGCTTAATTACTTCTTTCCTATTGCTGACAAGGACCTGGGGTGGTGTTGTTTATGATTTATGAGTTATATAATTATTAGTAATTGCCAGTGGGTATGGTTGTGGATTCACCTTACTTTCCGGGTGTGTGTGTGATTAATATTTGTTGAAAGAGAAAAAGCCAGTGGCGAGGAGTGTCAGTGTGAGTGGGTCTTCGTTAAGGTCTTGTAGCAGCTCCCTGCGTTCCCTTTCCCAGTGCTTTCTATCCCACATCGATTCAATTGCCTTTTGGGTATGGTTGTGGATTCACCTTACTTTCCGGGTGTGTGTGTGATTAATATTTGTTGAAAGAGAAAAAGCCAGTGGCGAGGAGTGTCAGTGTGAGTGGGTCTTCGTTAAGGTCTTGTAGCAGCTCCCTGCGTTCCCTTTCCCAGTGCTTTCTATCCCACATCGATTATTAGTTGTGTGCGTGAGTGGAATTTAAGGTCCTCAGTCAATACCCAAAAGTCAGCAATTGCCTTTTGGGTATGGTTGTGGATTCACCTTACTTTCCGGGTGTGTGTGTGATTAATATTTGTTGAAAGAGAAAAAGCCAGTGGCGAGGAGTGTCAGTGTGAGTGGGTCTTCGTTAAGGTCTTGTAGCAGCTCCCTGCGTTCCCTTTCCCAGTGCTTTCTATCCCACATCGATTATTAGTTGTGTGCGTGAGTGGAATTTAAGGTCCTCAGTCAATACCCAAAAGTCAACAATTGCCTTTTGGGTATGGTTGTGGATTCACCTTACTTTCCAGGTGTGTGTGTGATTAATATTTGTTGAAAGAGTTATTGTGACAGCCCCACCTTCCCCTAAGGCGAACCAAAGAGGTTAGCGGATTGCCTGCCCAACTCTCGCCAGGACTAACGGTGCAGTTTAGAGCGATCTATTTTGTTCCGGAACTTATAACGCGCGTAAACAAGGCAAAAGGGCAAAATAACCCAAAATAAAAAAAAAATGAAATTCGGAGTCGGCCATGAATAGTAACCGACCCATCAGAACCCAACCAACTATCAAGTAACATTCACATATGGAATTTGAGCAATTACAACCCAAAGCAGCATACAAAAGTTTTCAAAAGTGAATATATACACGGTTTGCCAAATTGAAAGTGAAATCGGCACTAAAGATACATTTAGGGTTTCCCTTCATATACAATACAAAAGAAATATACATCTAGTTCATTCGGTAACCATCTATCAAGATTCATTCCAAAAAGAGTCATATTCCTGTAAGGAAAACAAAAGAACGGTGTGAGCTAATTGCCCAGTGAGATACTATCACTTACGCACCCAAGTGCATATAAGCATCAAGCTTTCATTCAATTTAGTAAAATAAGCAAAGGCACACTTCAAATATAGTGATAAAAGGATACAGATGGCTCTCAAGAACCCTTTCCTCGTTTGCATTTCTTGATCGGACGTCATTGACCCTCCGTCAATGTTCAAAAGTAACCAACCGTAGACTCCACTTTACCTCCACTCCTTCCACCTAACATCCCCCTACCGGGCCCGAGCTCCAAACACTTGCACTTTGATATTACTCGAGTATACCGGAATCGAGAGTCTCGTATACTACAAGATTCCATATAACTTTACCCAAGGTTCATTAATTGGCACGACCAATCCCTCGCCGACTCGATTCAATTAACTACCAATGGGGTTGAGCTCATTGATAACATTTGTAGTCGTTGGATACTCGCCCAATCGACACCAAGTCGAGTACTTTCATTTCATGTAACATTTCATGTAACATTACAATAACATGACAACAATGATATAAGGCATATAAGTGAGAGTGATAAAGTACACTTTCACTGCAATCAAGTCACATTCAATTCACTTCAAGCAAGTTACATTCAAAGCCATATAGTAACACACAAGTGAGTAGTACACTCACCAGGGTCAGTGCAGATACCTCCCAAAAGAGAGCTTTAATCACCAATAAACCCTAAAATAATCCAAGGAAAACAATTGAAGGTTCCACTCTCAAAATTGAGTATACAGAATGCACATGTGAGGCTTGACTGCCAGTCGTATGCGTCGCCAAATAATTACTAAAGCAAGGTGCAAACCATGATTTTTGGAACGAAAAGGTAACATGAAGACCTAAGCTCAAACAACCCAAAAGCCCTTCTCTCAAAACACAAGTAAATCCAACTAGCCTTCAAGTAAAATTTCGACAGCATATCCCTTGTGTTTACCTATTTTTCAGCCATCATGGCTTCATTATTTCCTCAAATCAGTCCCAACATCTCGTACAAAAATAATCTCATTCCCAAAAGCCGTTCACTAGGCTTAATGGCATTCAAGTACAAAATTTAGTTAGGAAATAACCGAATATGAAAGTCAAGCCCTAAACTATTCAAATGAACACAATAAGACTCGATTACAAGTTATAAACCAATTCTATATACTACCAAAACAGGGTTCCCTAAGCATACACAAACATTAAAGGAAACCAGAAAATTCGGAAATGCAATTAACTTTGGCCCTGAAAAAACAGTTTTTGTCCTCATTTTGCGGTAATGGCACCAATTTCACTACGATTATCGGATGAGGGTGCAAGACCCACCATCTCGAAACTAAAAGATAGGGCTACAATATCACAGAAGGTCACTCAACCCAGTTTTGAGTGCAAATAGGTCAAAAATGCAAGATACTACATCAAAAACGTAAAACAGATTCACCAAAACGCATTCTAGCGGAAACATCATAACTCAGGCTCTACAAGTCCAAATCCAGAAATTCCAAAACCAGCTGAAAGCTAAGAAACAGGGCTAAATTTCATTAGAAGGCCTCAACAACTAATTCGGAAGCAATTCCAGCCAAAACAACCAATTACAGGCGCAATTCTTCAATTCGGGTAAAACCAGAACAGCAATAGTAATTTTGACTTATCTTATTCTATACTACTCCGATTGACCTGAAATTTTGTAGGCACCTATAAAATGTCATTCCCTACAACTTTCATGTTTTAAGCCAATGCCAATTCGGCCTTTATCTAGGACCTAAAATTTCGGACAGAATGCTCCCTCAAGAACCCTAGTTTTCTGAAATTTCTTCCAAACCAGAAATTGGTTGCAATTAATCACTTTTCCCACCTCCTTAAGTCATTATAGACCATTTCCAATCATCATAGATAGGCACACAATCATGCTTATTTTAAAACAGAAAAATCCCCAAAAATAATAAAACTTGATCATTTCAACCACAAATCAAGAATTAATCCATAAACTTGCATCTTCTACTACCACTAAGCATGATTTAAGCATCAATTAAAGGAGGAGGGTGGTTCTTCACAACTTACCTTAAAACAAGAGAGAGAGAGCTATTGGTCACCTTGGCTTTCCAAATAATTCCACACAACAACTCACCAACACTTCCTTAAGTGGTTTTATGGAGCAAAATCAAGGTTGGATGGTTGAGTAAGTTGATTGAAGCAAGATGGAAGCCAAATTCTTGAAGAGTTTTCTTTCCTTTCCTTGCTTAAGAGATTCGGCCAAGAGGAAGAGAAGAATGAGGGATTTTTGGTGAATTTTTAAGATATTTAAGTCAATTGGTAAGACATGCAATAGTAGTCAAATGGTCCAACCAATAGCCAAGTGACACTTGCCACCTTTTATTAAATACCTACCTAACTTGTCTCTCTCATATCAATCCAAATTGCAACCTCTACTTATCTCTTAACACCCGATAAATTAACTCCAGTATCCAAAACTTAACCTAGTTGGTCGAATTTTTCCGAACTTTTCGCACTAGTGGGTCCCACGTCCGGTATACGCTCTTAATTTCTCAAAATCCATTCGATACTAGAAAAAGCATCTAAAAATTATATCTGCTCCTTAAAATTATCTAGAAATTTTTTTAATCATGAAAATGCAAAAAACAAGCCATAAAAATACGAGAAATCTAGAAAATAAAAATTACGGGTTCTCACAGTTATATAATTATTAGTATAATTTTTATCAATAAATTAGATAATATATATGAAATGGGTGCAGACTTCCTCCCTTATAGGACGATCCTCAAATAATTAGCATCTGTTATCAAAAAAAAAAAAGAAAAAAGAGCCAATCTATTTCTCGTTGACATCATTTCATTTGTGTTTCTCTTTCCGATAATTACTTCCCCACCGGCCAGAATTTTGATGAGAGTTACAAACTACATGTCTCGGCTCTACGGTCACTTCACAGCATACTTACTGTGTTGACTGATATAAAGATAACTAATTAATTTATTATTTGAACTAAGCATGATACTTTAGGCACTAAGTTAAAGCTTACTTTTAGGATTATTTTTAGAACTTCCTTCGTAAATAATGGCAGGCCATATGAAATAAAGCCGGTTATTTTTTTGGCTCTTTTTATGGTAAATCTTTTCTATTTAATTTATCAATTAGATATTTTGAAACTATATTAGGAATTATAAATATGTTTCTCAAATTTACGATAGAGTTGGTTGAACTTTGATTAAGGATCATTGAACCCACTTGATTAAGGATCATTGAACCTAGACTCCTCGGTTTTGAACCCATCATACTGTTTTGATTAAGGATCATTGAACCTAGACTCCTCGGTTTTGAACCCATCATACTGTTTGGACGACTATTTGTTATTGGCTATTTAAAGGAGACCCGTTGCTGTTGTTTGATGCCTCCTTTGTATCGGTCGTACTTCTTCCTGTCTGTCAGTCCTTTTTCTCTCCGAGTGTGTGTGTGTACGCATAGTTTCCCATACAGTAGATCAAATAGATCGAGTAGCTAGAAATTGAGAATTGGGGACTGGGTCGATCCAGAAGATTAGCAGTTTTCTCCTGTACGAACAGGGTCGACAAGAACCTCCAGTACCTAATCAAGCTCCTGCTACATCTCCAGGAGACCCTGTAGAAATTAACATGGACGTCTACGCGTGGACTTCCGGTGATAATCAAATGGGACAAGATTGGTTTGTCGACGAGGCGGAACTATTTGAAATGCCAAATTTGCTAGTGGACATGGCGGTGGGACTGCTCGTGAGCCCACCAAGGTTGGGGCCCGTGGTGTCTGTTGAGTCGCCGGAGATTTCGGACGCATATAGTCTTTGGGAAAATGATACACGGATACCTCATCAGATGCGTGGATTTAGGCTGGACGGTTGTGGATTCGGCTCCTCTCAAGTCTTTGGTATAATAATTTGAACTTCTTCTGAACTTCAATTTGCTGCGTTTATGATAGATCACGAGTACATATATAACTTCCTTTGTACATATATAACCCAATATTATTTGCTGATTTTTCCTATTGCAGCTGCTGACGGTGCCCCGAAGAGGGGCAAGATCCTTAACCTAATCCTCGAAGACTTTTTTCGTACAAGGGAACTAAGGGAACGAGAGTTGGTGCTACTGAAGAAGGGGAACAAAACGTGTTTGACAACTCGTGCCCAGCCTTTCCATTACTACAGTCATCAAGATTTCAAGAAACCCTGTGATGTCCATGGACAGCAAAGGGGAATTGTTGGATCTCCAATTAGACCAGAGCGCACACAGGGCTTTATCAACATACCATTTCCAAATTTAAATCTTGCAGGAGTTGATGTTGCGCACAATTCTGTGAGTGGTATTTATGAACATAAATATGGAGTTGTTGAAAGCCCACATAGACAGGAGCTCCTGCAGAACATAGAAAACATAGCGCATGATGAAGGAAATATGGAAATCGATGTGGCAAATCCTGAAAGAGGTGGTGCTAGCATAGAACCGAGAGACAGTGAAGTGATTAACATAAAAAGGCAAAAGTCAAGTCATACTTTAAAAAGCAAACTTGGAATTACTCGTGAGGTTCTTGAACAAAATTCTTGGAGGAGTCTTAAGGATGCTGCAAAAGTTCTTCAAGGTAATTCTTAATTGTAGGTCTTCTCTATATCAGAATTGAATTCAAATTTGGTTAAAGTGTGTTGATTTTCTTCTTTCTTTCTGATACTTGCAGTTAGCCGATCTACGTTGAAGCGTAGATGTAGGGAGTACGATATTGACAGATGGCCATCTCGTAAAGCAAGAAAGGTTAATCAAGCCTTTGCTGAACAAAGAGTTGTTCAGCCTTCTACTGAAAATACTGAAGAACAACACCGGCCAGACACAACAAGGCTAGGAGATGATAGTAGCATCTGGGTGAAAGCAGAATATCAAGGGTATACCATGAAGTTTAGACTTCCATTGTCAGCCCACAAATTCAATTTGGAGGAGAAAGTTGCACAACGATTGAATCTACCGACTGGAAGTTTTAAAATTGAGTATCAGGATGAAGAGAATGAATGGATTTGGATAGCCTGTGATGAAGATTTGAGTACCTGTATGAGCACATTAAGCTCACTAGGTAGGACAACAATCAAAATGTTGGTCAGGTGATCGCATATTTATGAGCCTTTTGTATAATTAATCTATTTTTAAGCCTATGGTGCTCTAGTCTGCTGTAGCTTCCAAATACCTACATTTTAGGTTCATTGACTAGATAAATATGGCAGATGAAGAAGATGCCTCCCACACTTCAATGATCCTAGTGCGTTGTGTCCGGTCCACTATATAGAACTTCTTTTACTTTGGTTTTAAAAAAAAAAAAGGACAATTTTGACTAAAAGTGCTTCAAATGAAAACATGAACTGAAGTTAAATGAGGAAACCCTTTCCAAGGTGTTGCAACTAGATTATTATCATTATCACACTTGCCTCGTTTGAGTTAACATTTATTTATTTTTTACTCATCAGCCAATTAACCATTATTCTGGGATTGTAGTTGCCACATGTTCTCGAATTACTTAAATTTCAATTTGTTTGGTATGATTAAGTACCATTAATTTCTTTTATTATATTGATATGCTTGAGAAAAACTAAGTGAATGATTTCTAAGCTAGATAAATAGTATCGGTAGAATAAAATGTTTCTTTTTTTCATTAAAATAAACATTTGAAATTAAAAATTTTACAGTACTTATTTTTAGGTGGGAAAAAAAATTTCCAGCATTTTTTTTTTTTTTTTTGTTTCATCACTCTAAATCGAATCCTTGGCTTCGCCACTGAGGTCCATAGACACTGCTAAATTATATTTAAGATGGTTACTGGAAGTCCAAATCAGCTGATTTTCTTTTACATTTTGATTTCACTGGAAGTGCCAAACAAGCTGCTGATAAACCGTGAATGTTTTGCAGTATCGAACTGCTAAAATTATAGCAGGGCACATCCAAAGGTAGATAACGAGACCTGAGCATTAACTCTACATCACAGAAACAGTACAAGCAATGGCAAACCCAAGGCCTTAATGACAGCCTCCACCACATCCAGCACTAAGAGAATTGCCTTGGCTAGACTAACATTCAAAGCCTCAGGTCCCAGCAAGGATAAAGTGAGAACAAAACAAGCTGCCCAAGAATGTTGAGACTTCTTGCAGCTGGGATTGGTGATGAGAAAAATCGGTTTTTTTTAACCTTTCGGATTTTTTCTTTGTGTTAGTCATATTTGTAGTGTGTGATGTTCGGAATTTGTGATTTGAGGGAATTACTTAATATTAACAAAAGTATATTGTTGAGGAGAATCTAAACAGGAGATAGCAATAGATATTGAAGAATTAAAATAGCTCAAAAATCTAGCAAAAAGGGAATAGAGACTTTGGGAGCTGTCTAAACTCTAAAGGATATATATATATATAAAATAAATCTTTCCTACACTGACAATGTATACGCTATCATCGTTGGATTCATGACATGTGTGCAAAAGTTGAATTTCAAATTCAAATTTTGCATAGTTGTCATTCATACAATGCTGATAATGTATACATTATTAGTGTAGGAAAGATTAATTCATATATATATATATATATATATATATATATATTTGTGTGTGTACATATGTATATCTAGGGATCTTTTTGTTAGGTAGCATACTAAACATCTTTTGTTATGCCCAAATCATTTTTAGTTATTCAACCACTTTATCCAGGGGAAGTTTCTCACCAAAATGTGAAATCTATTCCTCAATAAAAATAGCAAGCAATTGTTGTAGGCAACAGTTAAAAAAAAATTTCACATTTACTAAGGGACGTAACAATTTCCGATACCGAACAAAAATAATAAATATGCCAAATTTCATAACAAAACTCAAATATAAATTTCAATATTATTTATTTTTAAATATGTCTACATTTAAAAATGCGTGTATGTGTTAAAATGAAAAAACAATGCTAAAATTGTTGGACACATTTTCTCTCTTTGTTTACTTTCCCATGCCAAGAGCCTGGGCTTCCTCGCTGAAAATTTGGAGCCAACATATGATACCAGTTATAAAACGTGACTCTCTTCTGTTAATTTCTTGTTAGATGTTTTACCAGTTAAAAGGAGTACAAGAAAATTGGTAAAATTGTTCCTTGTCTGTTATTATCCCCCATTGTGTGCTTCATTGTTAACAAAAAATAAAATAAAAAAGAAGGAAGAGAAGGAAACTGCCAATTAAGTTTTCAAATTTCAATGTGTTAATTTATTCCTCAAAGAAGGAAGCATTTTGTTCCATGTCCTGCTATGGCTATATGCCAATTCGTCCTTATGCCTCTACCTCAACAGGCAGGCTAAGAGAATCGCACCCGTATCTCAACTCATCAATCAGTAGAAGCAAATGGACCGAGTTGATGTGGTTCAACATTGTTTTTTGGAAGAATTTAATGTACTATTAATTAATAATGGGCCAAACTAAAATGATCTGATCTATACCCTTAACAACAACTATCGATGGTTGCAGAAACGTTGATCCATTTCAACTCTTATGTTCGCCATTCGTTATTTCAATCCCTTCAAAGTTTCAACTCTCATTTTCCGTCATTCTATTATTTCAATCCCCCAAAGCTTTTTTAGCTTACAGTGGACATGATCTTTTAAGATGGAAAGATGAGTGAATATATTCTAGCCCCCGACGGGTTGCTCGGGTGGTCGTGTAGCCCTCATTAGGGTGAGACGGCCTGGGTTCGATCCCGAGCTCAGCAACCCGGCGTAATTTCCTGTGGATCAGTGGGGCCCGCTCTCCACGGGGTTGGGGGACTAGTCGGGTGTAGGCCCGGACACCCCCAACTGAAAAAAAAAATGAGTGAATATATTCTAAGAACCAAAACATCTTTGTAGTTTTGAGTGACAGAATTAATACTAGTGGGTCCGTTGGTTATGTATGTGAAGTATTATTTTAGCATTTCTCCCAAAAAAAAGGTAGAGAAATTGTTCGTCGATCACTACAATACATCAACTTTGTCGGTGACAGATCACTCTTATCTATAATTTTTTTTTATCGCAACGATAATATTTGTTTAACTTATTTTAATCTAATCTAGAGCTGTTAAGTTAATCAAGTAACTCGAAAGCTCGTTAGAGCTCGGCTCGTTAAGGCTCGAGCTCGGCTCGTTAATTTTGGTTAACGAGTCGAGTTCGAGCTCGAAACATGCTCGTTTAGTTAACGAGCCGAGTAAGCTCGGCTCGTTTGATACTCGAGTAGCTCGTTAGAGCTCGTTAATGAAGGGCATATTTGTCATTTTAGAAATCAAAATTATAAAAATTAAAAATTATAGGTTTTTATTAAGGTTAATTTGCACGAGCTCGAGCTCGAACTCGTGAAGCTCGACTCGTTTGTGATAAACGAGTCGAGCTCGAGCTCGAATTCGAGCCACATGTACATTTAACGAGCCGAGTTCGAACACATTTTAAAGCTCGTTTTCCTAACGAGCTCGAGTCGAGCTCGGCTCGAATTAAACTCGAGTCGAGCTCGGCAGCCAAATACTCGGCTCGACTCGGCTCGATTAACAGCTCTAATCTAATCTAAGAGAAAAAGAAGTCGACGAAAAACTCAAGTCATTTGAAAGTGATAATTACAATTAAATAGCAAGATGAATCTTAACTCCCACCGGCCAAGACTTAAATGTCTTTGGTTGTACCGACAGCCCAAGCGATCACTCTTACCTATAAACGCCCAAGACTTAAATGTGTTGGTTGTTTGCTTCGTTGTTATTTCACGCTTGTCAGTCCTTTTTCTCTTGTCGACCATTGACTTTGAACTTTGAAGTCTTCGAGTGTGTGTGTCTATATATGAATATATGCATAGTATTAGTTTCCTATACAGAAGCTAAAATAGATGTAGCAGTAAGAAACTGAGAGTCGGGAAACAGGATCGATCCGGAAGATATAGCAGTTTTGTCCTGTACAAATGGCAACGGAAGCTCAAACTTTTCCCTCCCCTCCTTTTTCTACGGAAGGTTTGGGGCCTTGTGAACTATCATACTCCCATTCATTTAACAATTCTTTTCACCAGTGGACTTTCTGGAGCACATGCGGCAATGACGAAGGACGCTGCGGGAAGACTCCTCATCTCTCACTCTCAGCCGGTAAGTATGGACTTCTTTCAATAATCTCTCGTAGTATAATATGTATGTATGTGGATAGCTATTTATTGGCAATTCAATTTGTCGTAGCTATAAAGTCTGACATTGTTAAACTCCTGTGGAGTAAATTGGAACAATCTAGAGCAGAAAAATTTCTAGAAACTATTAGTTTGATGACAAATTAAACTACTGTTAGAAAGATACAAAGAATTGGGCCATCCAATTGGAAGGGTACTTGGGGGCGGCTCTTGTCAGAAATTTCAGGGGAGAGGTTTCTACACTTTTACCATAAATAAATGATACAATAGTATATACTAGCAAGCACCCGTTAATATTTTTTTTTACTGATTTTCCTATTGCAGCTGCTGACGCTGCCGTGATTAAGACCGACATCAAATGGTTTATGCAACTCGATACGGAAACAATAATGTGGTGGCGGTGTCTAGTTCAGTTCTGGGGTTTAGTGAGGATTGGCGACAAAACGTATTTGACAACTTGTGACCAGCCTTTTGCTCTCTGCTACTACTTTGATCCAGACGTCAAGCCACTATGTGAATATAGGAAGCTCTGTTTGGAGTGCTTAATACCCGTGGATGATGATGATGATGATGATGTTGAGCTTATAATTGGTCCCCCTGGTCGGGTGTTCCGCAGTGGATTCCCTGAATATGCAGAGGATGTGCATGATTACACTAGTAGAGAGTATCCTCAACGTGATTATGCGGTCGACCGTGCCAGGTATTACTGGGCGTTACCAATCTATCATCCTACTCGGCACCTTCCCGTTGGTGTACTGGAAATTGTATCACCATATGTTGTTGGCGACTTACCTCGACGTCAGGTTTTGGAGAAGCTTCAGGTTCGACTTTTCTCTTTTTTTAAGTTGCTTAATTACCTCTTTCCTATTGCTCACAGGGACCTGGTGGTGTTGCTTATGATTTATGAGTTATAATTATTAGTATAATTTTATCAACAAATTAGATTATATATATGAAATGGGTGCAGACATTTGTTATAAAAAAAGCCAATCTGACCATAATTTTCATGAGAGTTACAAACTACATGTCTCGGCTTTACGGTCACTTCAGAGCATACTTATTGTGATAACTAATTTAAAGATGACTAATTAATTTATTATTTGAACTAGGTAATTTATAACATAACCAACCATTGCCTTCTTGTGTGTTATATGGTGCAAGATTTGTAATAGCATAGCATTAATGATTTAAGTTTTTAGTGAACTCAAGACCAAACAAAATTTGGCACTTAATAAGAATTTCGTGATAAACCTAACTTCAATGGGGGAGATGCTTGGCATGAATTTTGTGTATTTCCATGTCCTTTACAAATTTGGGGATAGATTGTGGTTTCCAGCAGTCATGGGTTTCTAGTTGTTAGGTGGCAATAGGACAGGTGCTTTTTATAAATTAAGCTAATGGAAGGTCTCTTTTGTCATGTGTCAATGACCAATTTTTCAATTGCTTATAACTGCGAAAACTATGGTGACAGTCACCCTAATATTAATCTTCTCTTTTAAGTTATTTTTTAAGTGAAAGAAGTTGTTTCTAAAAAATTTGTGTCGTTCGAAGGAGGTTTTGGCTTTTCGGAACTTCTATACCAAAATTAGTTAAGTAAGCATACAAAGATCTTATCTTATTGGCTTTTTTTTTTTTTTCTTTTTTGAGTGCAAATCCGTTCCTGTTAAACAGCTTTTAAAAGCCAAAGCAAACACTGTGAAACTTGTAAATAACACTTTAGTTTATTTGCTGCGCATGAATAATGTGTTTGCTAGAATCAACTACAGAAGGTGAATCTGACAACTACTTGTGTAAGACTCGCGGAAGCAAGTTCATGTGAGTACCTCAAGTATTTTTTTTGCCTCTTTTTATACTGCATAACCTTGGCTGAAGCTTTAGGCTATCCATTCCATGCTAATACTTTTAAGCCATTCATCTATAGGTCAAGATGGAGAAATTGCTAAAATTGACAAAGCATTGAGAAATACCAAGTCAATATTCAAGCGTCCAAAACATGGACTGTATTATTCCGAAACTTGGACTACTTCTGGAGAAATACTAAGTTCTCGTGAAGGCGTAGATTTTATTCGGAAGGGACAAGGGGTAGTTGGGAGAGCATTCTCATCCAAAAGTGCATGCTTTTGTAGGGATGTAAGACAATTAAGCATAACAGAGTACCCGTTGGTACCCAATGCACGACACTATGGGGACTCTGCCTGTTTTGCAGTTTGTTTGCAGAGCTCTTGCTCGAGCAATTGCATTTATGTACTGGAGTTCTTTTTACCTACAAATGAAAAAGACTATGGGGATTGTAGGATAATGCTGAACAGCATAATGGAGAAATTGAAAAAATACCTCAGGAGTTCTTTTAAGATTGCTTTAGGACAAGAATTGGGGCAAAAATTGACTGTTGAGGTTATAAAAGTCACTCCAGAGGATGAATTTGATTCTTTTGAAATCTGCAGTACTACTGGTATTGAATCTACACCTAGGCTTGGAAAAGTACAAGGAGGAGAAGGAATGATGCAACTTGATTTCTCATCTCAACAAGTTGATGCTGCAAATGGTTCTATGAATGGAAGTGTTGAATCTACACCTAGGCTTGCAAAAGCACAAGGAGGAGAAGGAATGATGCAAGTTGATTTCTCATCTCAGCAAGTTGATGCTGCAAATGCTTATATGAATGGTGTCCATGGACAGCAGAGTGGGATTGTTGCAAAAGCACCAGAGCACGCGCAGGACTTTGTCAACATATCATATCAAGAATTAAATCTTGCAGGAGTTGATGTTGCGCACAATTCTATGAATGGTATTTATGAACAGCAAGATGGAATTGTTAGATCTTCAATTGGACAGGTGCTCATGCAGAACATGGTCAGCATAGCGGATTATGAACCAATTGTGGAAGATCCTAAAAGAGATGATGCTAGTATAGAACAGAGCGGCAATGAAGTGACTAATTTAAAGATGCAAGAGCCTAGTTGTACTTTAAAAAGCGACCTTGGAATTACTCACGAGGTTCTTGAACAAAATTCTATGAGGAAACTTGAAGATGCTGCAAAAAATATTGGAGGTAATTTTTAACTGTCGCATTTCTCTAGATCAGAATTGAATTCAAATTTTGGTTAATGCATGTTGATTTAATCTGGATCTATTTGGAAATATCTAGTTTACACATTGTAAAGGCTTTTTCCTTCACTGAAGTTTTCCATTCTAAAATTTGCAGTCAGTCGATCTACATTGAAGCGTATATGTAGGGAGTATGGTATTCACAGATGGCCCCCTCGTAAAGAAAGAAAGGTCAACCAAGTCTTTGCTAAACAAAAAGTTGTTCAACCCGCTATTGAAAATGTTGAAGAACACCACTGGTTAGATGCAACGAGGCTAGAAGATGATAGCAGTATGTGGATGATCAAGGCAAAATATCAAGAGGACAAGATAAAATTTGAACTTTCATCTTCTGCCCGTAAAATCGATCTGGAGAACAACATTGCACAACGATTCAATCTATCCGGTGGAAGTTTTAAAATTAAGTATCAGGATGAACTTAATGACTGGATTTTGATAACCTGTGATACAGATCTGAGTTTTTGTATGAAAACACTACAAAAACTAGGTAGGACAACAATTGAAATGTGGGTCAGTTGATCAGCATCTGTGAACCTTTGTACAATTAATTTGTTTGTTAATATTGGTGCTCTAGCACGACAAGCTTTACTGTGGTCATTAAGCAGCTTATAGGTTGTCCCATAAGTTGCTCAATATACAATTAAATCTTGTCAACTAGATGACCAAAAGTCTAGTTGGTAGAATGATACTAAGTCAGAATTTTATTTGTTGTAGCCCATATTTGTATCCCTCATTCCTCTCTCTCATTTTCAATTCCCACTTCTCACTTTCCATGACGGCACAACTATGGTGTCTCTTGTTTTATCACCTTCTGCAGATGGTATTAATAAACATAGTCTAACCTAAAGTAACTCAGTTCCACTGAGCTTGCAATTTCATGTTATACAAAAAAAAAAAAAAAAAAGAGACTTTTACTCTGCTGAAAAATTTTCAACTCATCACTTCCACAAACCCAAGAAGATATAGAACTAGGCTTGACTGATGGGGTGTATGGGGAGAGAGAGAGCATTAATATTGGAACCCAATTATTCATGGAACCTACAAATGGATAAAGGAAGAAAGACTCGTTAGCATCTAAAGCCAGACAGTTTGGAGCTGAAAACCTAAAAATTCAAAGTGGTTAGGGGTTGATGAGAAAAAAAGGAGGGTCTAAGGGTGGTTTTGGGATGGGGGGATAGGTAGGAGGGAAACCAGGCATGTGGGCCAAAGATGATTATTGAAGTGAAGCATGGAGCTATGCAATAAGCAATCAGACACATGAAAGTAATGGTGCTGAGGGAGCGAATGGCGCTGGGGGATGTTTTTGCGATAGTGATACTCGATTTGGTGATATTTGTTGTACAGCTTGGGAAGGAGAGAAGTGTGAGATAAGAGTAGGGGAAAGGAATGTGAGAGATATAAGTTGGTACAAAAAATGAAACTCCAACTTGACATTATTTTGCCAACTAAACTCTTGAATTTCACAATAAATTACGTATAACACTCCTGTGATTTTATATAATACCAAATGACCCTCCTAAGGATTCAAAATAGCCACGTTACCCTTATGATTTTATATAAAATGAAAAGTTGACAGAATGCACAATTAGTTATGGTATTTATACCAAACGTACTCTAAAAGTATGTGTGATAAAATCTTAATCTCTATATAATCCCTTTATGATTTATATAAATATCTACTTTACCCCTTTATGATTTTTGCATTTATCCAAATAATTCTCTTATACTTTTATATAAGATAGTTAAGTCCTCAATTGATTTAGTATTTAAGTAAATGCATTATTGGTATTTCAATTAGTGGCGTTACATATTGTATTTTTCGTCCAATATCACTTTACATAAAATCATAGAAAGGTGAGGTGGATATTTTAAAACGTTAAAGGGGTCATGTGATAATAGATGAAACTAAAGAAGATTTATATATAATTTACCCTGAATTTAATTACAAGATTTAATTGACCGTTGAGGTTATAGGAAAATTCACAAGTTGCTCAATGACAATAGTAAAAATTGCCGCTCTAGCATTATGATATTTTCAGCCAGTACTCTGTCCATGAGGTAGTGTGCTCTGCAGCAAAGCATGCCAATACTTAGTCCTACTTTGCTTCGATGTAGCTACATGTTTTAGTTTCATTGACCGGATAAATATGGTAGGTGATGAAGATGTTTTTGTCCGCTTCAAATCATCTGTCCCAGATTTTTTCTATGTCCTATCTGCCCCCTTTTTATTTAACTACCATGTGTATTGTATTATTAGACTTATCCTCCAATAAAATTCTAAGAGCTATTAATTGTTGGACTTATCTACAAGAGAATCTTAAGAGTTATTTATCAATACACATGATAATTAAACATAGACAAGACAAACAGAACAGAAACAAAATTTGAAATAGACAATTTTAAGTGTAATTAAATAAGAACAGGATAGATAATTTCAAGCAGTTTTCGTCTCCCACACTTAATGATCTCAGTGCCTTGCGCCCGCTATCTCGGACTTCAGTTACTTTGGGTAAACCAAGACAATTTTGATCCAAATGGTACATATAAAAAAATTAACCCAAGCTGTAGCAGCTAAATTATTATTTTTATTACACTTGCCCCCTGTTTTTTTTTTTTTTTTTTTTTTTTTGTAACAGGAGAAGTGTGAGATTTAAGAAGTGAAAAAAGAGAAGGAGAATTGGAATCCAAGATTTCTAAGGCACAAGCCCTCAACTTTAATCACTAAACCAAAACTTCATTCGCGTGAGATTTAAGAAGTGAAAAAAGAGAAGGAGAATTGGAATCCAAGATTTCTAAGGCACAAGCCCTCAACTTTAATCACTAAACCAAAACTTCATTCGCGCCTCAAGTGCCTCATTAGTCAATTAATCATTACTTTTGGATGGCAGTTGCCTCGTTCTCAAATTTCTTAAATCTCAAATTTTGTTTTGTAGAATCAAGTACAATTATTTTCTTTTGTTCTAATGCATCAAGGATAATTAAGGAGGCGCCTGGTTCAAGCCTAAACAATGCATGCTTTTGGTTGCTTTTGGCCGACTAAAAGTATGAACTTCACATATACATATACAAGTAAACTCCTTTCTAGAAGGCAAATATTAATATTGTTATTTACAATTCAGGACCGTTATTAGGGGTTCCTTTGTAACTATTTTTGTCATGTATTGGTTTATTTTCTCTTCAAAAAAGAAGCAAAATGATGGCCCCTTTTTCCCGAGGAAACCACAAATAAATGTACATCTCGTGCCATTTATTCACCCGAAAATACGGTTCTTAGTTTTAAAGGAAAATTGCCAAGTTTCTGCTTTTTCACTTTTTTTTTTACATTGATTTTGTTAAAGTTATAAGGGGCAATTTGAGCATGCTTCATCTCTACTTCCTAGGTCAATTATAATTAAGCCCATCATGCTCGAACTCAAAGGCCACCACCAAGTCCTTACGGCTTGATGGAGTAAGAGATTAAGGGTTCAATTCTTTCCTCCCATCAATTATCACAATATTTGACATATCTAAAAATCGCACCTATCTGATTCGATAGTAGTTTAGTCTCCATCGATCTCCCATAAGCTCAATTAGGCCTTCTAACTTAGATTAGGATAGAGTATAATAATACAGATAAAGTGACGAAAAACAAATGCTCAAACTTTCATATTTGTTTCTTTCAATTTATGTGGATTTCCTAATCATATTAATATTGAATAATATTAGGAACATTATAAGTATCAAAATAACAACTTCTAGTTCAATTGACCCGCACGTTAAGAATTGTTTCCGGTCAAATCATCGCCATCCCAAATACAAAAAGCAAAATGTGCCAATTAGGTCCCGAATTAATTATCCTTCGGTGACGGATGGGGATTGATGGAAATAAAGGAGCCCACTTGCATTATGAAAAAGTTTTATTTATCTCGCCTTTTCTCTTTTTTGGTCAAGATAACAGCCTGGAAGAGCTCTTTTTTTTTTTTTAATTACTAGTATCAATTTTCAATATTTATCTCTTTATTTCTTGTTTATTTTTATTGCTCTATTATCTCTTTAATTCTTCTACAGACTTTTACCCACTTTTAAGTTTGACACACGCCTAAAAAAAAAAAAAGAAAAAGTTTGAACACAAAACTTTGCCTCGGTTAACAATAGTAATTTACTAGAGAATTTTTTTTACCAAATCAGTTGGAAATGTCTAGAAATATTGGACTTATTCGACCTCAGGAAAACTTAATACAAATTGATAATTATCTTGTAATATTAAGATTTCAACTCTTAAAAATGTAGTCCTTATAACCGATCGTCAATATCATCTTTTTTGGTTGTTATACGAAAAGAATCACTCTTTGAAAATTAACTCAAATTGGATAATTTTTTTTAGCTATATAAAATGTCTATCCAATGATCATTTGTTTCTTAGCTCAAATAAAAAATGAAACACAAGAAATATGCCGCTTCAATTTTCCTCGAAAATTTCCTCCTAATGTAATTTTTTGAGTTAAAAACAAATATACTAAAATGGGCTGGGGCTACATTTTACATGTGAGGGACTAAACGAAATGTTTTGAGTTATTAAAACCCTGCTTCTTCTAGTAATGTCCAACCAAATAAAATGGGGTTGCCAAGAAAAAAAGAATTAAAACAAATGAAATGGGAGAACCACTATGCACTTTGAATTTTTTGAATATTTATGCATTTCTTGATCCAAAAGATATGTCAATAATCTTGTACAAATTCTACATACAGAAACAAGTTGCTTAAGAAACACACCAATAGACCATTTCTTCCTTATAGTTGCTTGTGGAAACATGTTGTGGTAGTGGTTACTAAATGTGTAAATTAACAAGCATTGCTTAATGGTCCATGTGACTAGGGGTGTGCATTTGGTACAAATTCGATTATTTGGTTATTTGAATTCAATTTTTTCGGTTATTTCACTTGTTAAATTTTAAACCGCTTTCAATTTCGAATTGGAAATATCCGATTCATTCGGTTACCAAATTGAATTCGGAAAAGGTCATGAAATCGGTTATAATTGGATAGTAATTTCCAAATAATTAAAATGGGACTCACTTGTGCAGTTATATACACTTAGTCACTTATAATTTACTAATTATGTGTTGCATTACATTTACATTCATTCTTATTTTTTATATAGTTTAAATGCTTAATTTGCAAATAACATGATTGCTCTCAATTGTGAATGCTAATATACTAATGTGTTGATATGTAATTCACGTATATTCACTTAGACTGTTTAATCATAGTGCTTAATTGTCTATGTTTAAATAAGATTAGTGATTAGAGAATATTAATTCACATATTATATTTGTAATATAATTTTAGAGTATACTAATACTTGCAAGTTAAAGGTTACCCATTCAAATATTTAATAATCTAAATATGAATGATGAACTAATGTCTAAATTCTAATTATTAATTATGTGTAATATTTAGTACTATACTTATACTTATTGTTTGATTCTAGTTATGTATAAAAAGATAAGTATTATAGTTATGTATTATTGCATTTGTATTATTATAATCATATAACAAATACTAAAATAGTATATTGTACATCATTATATATTTTCATTATTATAGGCACATGATAATGCTATATGCTATCTATTATTTGGGGGGGGGAGGGTTGGGTTGGGTGGCACGGGGAAAGAGAGTGTAAACAAGAGGTCTCGGGTTCAAGTCTTCTCGCTTACACTAAAAAAAAATGTTATCTATTATTAATAACCTTTACCTATATAATATATTAATACTATATAGCATTGACCTATATATTATATC